GAGTATATTAAAGACTTCCGTTCTGAGAATGTTATCTTTAAAATTTGTGTTTATCGTATAGAAACTTATTCTTTATATAATCATGGCTAATCTTAATAAAATTGATGTCCCAATTGCGGTGACGCATAAAACAAAACTTGATTTATCTTGTGACCATGTAACTTCTATGGGTTTCATGACTACCCAGCCTGTTTATTATCGTCACATGATTAAAGGTGAACATATTAGTATAAATGCTTCTTCTACTGTTAGACCTGCGCCTATTGAAGTTCCTACGTTTGGTCAATTGAACCAAAATCTTAGGTATTTCTTTGTACCTTATCGTTTAGTATTCCCTAATTGGGATTCTTTCTATAATGATGTAATTGCTAGTAATGTAAGTGATAGTAGTTTAGTTTCAAGTCCTCCAATTATTAGTAATTCAGCTCTTCAATTTCTTTTTACTGAACGAGATTTTGGTTTATCTTCTGAATCTTCTGATTCTTCATTTGATTTTATTTGCAATGGTTCGCGCTATTATTATACTTCTACTGGTCGTTTTGTTCTTAAACTTTTACGTAGTTTAGGTTATGAGCCTATTTGGTCTAAAGGTCAAGATTTTGTTTATAATGCTTTGGGTTTGCTTGCATATATTAAGATATATCTTGATTGGTATGCTAATTCTCAATACCTAAATAGTGTTGATGTTTTGACTTTTGAGCGCGCTATTAAGTTTAATGACCCTACTAGTTTTTACAATCTTACTGGCAATACTTTGCTTTCTCTAATGTCTCTTGTTGGTAATGTTGTTTATGATGTTGATGATTATTTTGTCAACGCTTGGGATAATCCAGTTTCTCCAAATTCGGGTCAATATACTGGTTTTGCTTTTTCTGACCCTTCTACTAATAATGGTGCTTATGTTGTTACCAATAGTTTAGGTTCTCCTGAAATGGTTATGTCTAATCAGTCCTCTCAGGTTGGTACTACTTATATTCATGAAGCTCTTAAAAAACTTACTGATTTTCAAAAGCGTCATGCGCTTGCTGGTGCGCGTTCTATTGATAGAGTTCTAGCTCAATATGGTGTTATTACCGATTCTTTGAAACAACAAAGGTCTATTTATGTTGGTAATCAACAAACGTCTATTGATATTGGTTCCGTTTATGCTACTGCAGCAGGTTCTAATGGTCCTCAAAATTCAAGTACTGGTGATTATTCTGGTGCTGGTTTTGGTATGCGTAAGGATTTTAATGTAGATTTTACTGCTGATGAGGAAGGTATCTTAATTTGTGTTGCCTCTATTATTCCTACTGGTACTATTGTTCAAGGTTATGATAGAAACAATTTGCATTTAGATAAGCTTGATTTCTTTGTTCCTGAGTTTGATTCTCTTGGTGTGCAAGCAATTGAAAAAGGTGAAGTTTATATTTCAAATGGTGAGACTTTTGCTGATAATGATATTGATTATCGTGGTGTCTTTGGGTTCTCAGGTAGGTACGCTGAATATAAAAGACCGAAGTCGTTTTTTACTGGCGATATGTCGATTGTTTCCGCTATGCAGGGTGGCCGCTCTTGGACACTTAATCGTTTCTTTAATGACGTTTCTTTTTCTGCTGATATTCGTCGTCTGACTCATTCTCTTTCATTTACGCGTGGTTCTGATGCAGACCAGTATCATCGTATTTTCCAATATGTCAATGATGACTTAGACCCATTTTATTGCTTTATGCATTTTAATGTGGCTTCCTTTGCTCCTTGTAAGCCATTGTTTGAAACTTATGAGTTTGACGATGATGGTAAAAAAGTCCCTACTGAAAATGGTAATAAAGTCAACTAATTTCTAATCATTTAACTTTGCACCCTGCGGTGAAAATCCGCAGGGTTCTTATTATTATGGCTGATAAAAATCCGCAACAATACACAAATAATAATTGGGGTAATCAGAGAAAATATCAACATCTTGACGCTAATGGTAATCTTATTGAAGACCCTGAAATGGTATTGAATAATGCTTGGGCTGATTCTATGAATGGTCAGTCAGGTAATGTTTTTACTGATTGGCTATTTCCTCAGGTTAAAGAAGGTCGCCAAATGGCTGAGCAAATGTTTCTTACTGATAGACAAAATGAATACAATTCTCCTTCTGCTCAAATGGAGCGTATGAAAAAGGCTGGTATAAATCCTCTTACTGCTGCTGCAGGTATTGCTGGTACTGGTGCTTCTACTGCTACTGCTTCGCCTCAACCTTCTGCTTCGGTTAATCCTGTTGGTGATGTTGCTAATGCTGTCGGTTCTGCTGCTGGTGCTTTTAATGCTGTTGCTGGTGGTATTTCTACACTTGGTAAACTTATTCCTGAAATTGATGAAATCAATTCCTCTGCTCGTAAAAATCTCGCCTCTGCTGGTCTTGATAAGGTCAATACCGATGCGGTTATGACTGACAATAAATATCGCGACCAAAATTGGGAAGCTGAATTAAACATAAAGCGACAAACGTTTAAGAATATGCAACAAGAGCTTACTAATATGAAAGCTTCTCATCGTGAAATTATGACCCATGTTGATGAAATGATTTCTCAAATAGAGCTTAATGGTAGTCAACAAGATTATTATGATGCCATGAAATTAAAGATAGATGAGGACTTGCGTTGGCAGAAACAACTTAATGATTGGTGTATTTCCAATAATCTTATGATTCGTGAAAGTGGTGTTGATGGTTACATCTTCAATATGCTTTATAATGAATATTCTGATTCTGATGTAGATTCTTTCTTTAATGCTTATTATGATTATTGTCAACATCGTTCTTATGCTTCTACTAAAGGCTCTCGCGATGCAGAGATTGATACAGCTTTTGATAAAGCATTTAATGAAAATCTTGGTAAAAATGATGCTGACGCTGAATATGCTTCTTATTTTGCTAAAATTGAAGCTAATAAAGCTGCTTTGATTGACTTGGTTAAAACAACTCTTGATAATCCTACTAATGCAAGAGCTATTGTTGGTAAATTGATTAATATGTTGGCTAGTATGGGTCTTTCTGCTGATATTCTTCGTGGACCTGTCAATAATGCCAAAAAACCTGCTAATTGATTATGTTTATAGAAAAAGACTATCCTTGTGGTATTTGCCCATTTTTTGATTATTATTATGGAGAATGTATGTATGATGCGCCTTGTCCAACTGATGCAGATATTAATCCTTATTGAATAATTAAAAACCGCCGATTACTTGTCGGCGGTACTTTTCTTGTCTCTCTTATTGTAGGTGAAACATGCCGACTTGGTCGGTAGTTTCATCTCTGTAAGAGATTCGAGCGGTAAAACGATAATTCTTGTTTCGCTCAAGAACCTTTCTATTATGTGTTATCATCCTATTGATATTATCAACCCAACAAAATACATTTCACTGAACTATCGTGATAGGTACGTTATGCAGGTTCCCTGCGGAAAGTGTGCTGCGTGTGTTACTGCTAAATCAAATGAGTGGTCGTACCGTCTATATTATCAAGCGTTGGAAACGTTTAAACAAAAAGGCTTTGTCCTTTTTGATACACTTACATATGATGATAACCATCTACCGCATATATCCGACTATTATGCCGTGAGGCCTGACGTGGATTTCCCTTGTTTTAGTAGTCGTGATTTGCGTTTATTTGTTGCCGACTTGCGGCAACGATGTAAGAGAAAATTTGGAGCAAATTTCTCCTATTTCATTGCGTCTGAATATGGCACCTCTGAACGGCACTTACATCGTCCTCATTACCATGTTTTATTCTTTGTTAATGGTAAAATCAATCCTATTGAATTCAGTGCGTTGGTTGCTGCTACATGGTCTCGGGGCCGTACTGATGGTGTTCCGTTTCAGCCTGCTACTCATGTGCTTGACAATTCGTTTACTGAATTGTCAGCCCATGCTATTAGGAGTTTGAAGTATGTATGTAAGTACATACAAAAAAATTCAAAGTTTCAAAAAGAGATTGATTACCGTTTGAGTAAGATTATGGAAAGTATTTCTAATACTTTCAATAATCAAGGTATTGAAGATTGGTCGAAGTCTTCGCATTATTGGCGGATTCGTGAAAGTATTTCACGAAAAATCAGCCAATTTCATCGGCAGTCTACATTTCTTGGTGTTTCTGCTCTTGGAGATATTGATTTGTTGGAATTATTCAAAACAGGTAGTTTGAATATGCCTGATAATGAATTTGTTATCAAACAAATTCCGTTGCCTACATACTATAAGCGTAAGCTATTTTATGAGTTAGTTGAGATTGATGGTTCAAAATGTTGGGTGCCTACCCAACTTGGAGAAGAATATCTGACTGCTCGTCAGTCAAAACAACTTGTTGATTTGACTGCAAGGTTTGACGCATTAAAACATCATATTGATGTCAATTTTGATTCATCAAAATTAGCTGACTATTGTTTGAACTTTCGTGGAAGATTCAATACTGGTAAGCCTTCTACATTTGTAGAAAAAATGAATTCTATTCATTTATATAACTATGTTAACCGATATGATAAAGAGTGGTTTAATAGAACTGGTCTTAGTCCTCATTTTATTGGTAATAGTTCTATTGGTTATACTCGTTCTTATCGTTGTCTTATAAGTGTTTCCGATTTTATTCGGAAAAATGTTTATTTCAATAAAGAATATGAGAAAATATTAGAATCTATCTTTGAACATCGTGAGAAGATAGATACAGGTCGTCAGTTTCTCTATGAGTATAAACAGCACCTTACTAACCTTCTGCATTTTTATTTTGAGTAGTAAGGCGTATTGTCTTTTGTAAACAATTTGCGGTTTAGTACATAATTTCACCCAAGAAAACGGCGACGTGTCGCCCCGTCACTTTATTCCAAATTTCATCAGAAAACGTACTTTAAATAGCAAATTGGCAGTATTTATAATATACACTGGCTCTGCCCTCAGCTCTGCCTTAGCTTTGCCCTCAGCTCTCGCGCGCGCGTTTCCGTGCGCGCGGTTGCTGAGGGCTATATCGTAGAGGTTCTAAGCCTCTACGATATAGGTATCGCTTTTATCTTTTTCAATTACAAAAACTTTGTCGTGTATTCTATGGCAAATTTTGTTGGCCATCATTAGAGCCGTTTCAAGGTATGGATATTCTAAGGTAATAAATACGTTGTTGTTCTTATCCCAATATTTAACTTTGTATTTCATAAGGTGGTAATTTTTTGAAGTTAATTTGACAAATTGGACAATCATTTAAATAATGTGCAAGTAATGCACTTGCTACCATTTTACCATTACAATATAGTGTAAATGGTAATCCTTTTACTTTGTAATCGTGTTTAATTATGTGGTTCATGGTTATTCATTCTTGTAACATCCGTTTTCTTCGCAAATTTTGTGCATATCGTTTGCAGTTTCTTTCATTTCGTCTCCTATTGCGTTACAGCCTAAGTTATACTTGTATTTTGAGCCTGCTCTAAATGTTACGGCTAAATAGTTGATTAGCCCTAGTGTTGCCTGTTTGCTTGCTTTTTTGTTGTAGCGATACTTTGCTTTGATTTCGACGTCATAGTCGGCAATTCTTACTTTCATGATGTTTTCTCCTTTTAATACTTGGTTAGAAATTGAATATCTTTAATTTTGTCGTGTTGTTCAATTACAAAATACTTTATCCAGTTACCGAGCGATGCGGTAGACATAATTTGAATAATTGAATAAATTGAGTTGTCGTTGTGGTCCTCAACAAAGATTTGGATTTTGTACTTTTTTGTTTTCATGATGTTTAAATTTTGAGGTTAGTATTTAA